GTTTGTTTCAGAATTATTATGCATATACAGTAATCGAATGATCTTTTGAATTTGAGTAAGCGTCAAAATCTTTGAGGCTGGTCCACCAAAGTGAAGTATGCGGAGCACTTACTTGCAGGGTCATTGGGGTGGTGCGCAGTACATCAGGATAATTTGTCGCGAACTTTCTAAAGTTCCAGCGTTATTTCGCACTATGCACGTATTTTACAAGTCCGTGTTGTACAGTAATCGTACGTAGAAAAATAAGTCTCTCCATTTTTACGGTGTATGCCGTTAAAACTGAATTTTAACAGAGCAGATCATCAAGATATACCTTCACAATAATCACTCATGCAGTAATATTTACCTAACAATTAGGTAAATGCACATAGATATACAGAACCTAAATAGAATAATTACGAAGATGCATTCTTTCAAAGATTACTGAGTACTCATTACTTTAAAGCACCTGATAAATTACTGTACTGATTAATTCTTTATCGGGAGCCTCCAGACAGGGGCGGCTGGAGCTTCCCGGTTTGGGGTGGGCCAGCACTATTGGCTTTGGGGTGGGCCAGGCCCATAGACTACTATGTTAAAAAATTTTTTTTGGAGGGGGCCATGGCCCCCTGGCCGAGGGGTTCCAGCCGCCTATGCCTCCAGATAATGCCACGCACTGTCTAACAATCTTATGCAGTCGGTTGCTATGGCAATCGATGAGCTCCAACTAGCAAATGCAATATAATTGATTACAAGCCCAGCGCGGATGAATAATGTCTGATGATTTTGAACATGTAAAAAGGTTAACCGCATAATAATAAATATTTAAATAATTGCTGTTTGCTGCGAAATAAATAATTGCTGTTTGAGTTGATTGGCACGATGTTTATTACATTAAGTTGAATTTTTGGAAGATGTTAACAGAGTGGCTTCTGTGCCCATAGTAAGTTACAATCTGGGGATTTACAAAAAGCCCATGTTAAGCTAATGGCCACCATGGTAACAAGCTTTTGAGTGACCACTGGACTGTTGGGATTGAGCTTTCCAGAAAATTTATGATGCAGGAATACTCTCGACACTGAGAGGATTCTCTAGCACTTTAGAGCGTGCAGATTGGATGTGTGGAACGGGAGAACATAGAGTAGAACGGCAAAGTGTCGAGGACCCTTGTTACTTAGTTAGTATTCATATAATTAAGTAAATATCGCAGCGGAGTTCGAAATTCGAATTAACATCAGCTGGTAAATGGCAGTAGTATGTACTTAGTACATAAAAAACAAAATGTTACGTAGCAGTCATTCACGGGAATGCGCGCCGATTGTATCACCGTTTTGCGTTGGAGTGCGCCGTTGCGTTGTGAACCGGTCAACATGACCTTAGTAGGTTATAATTTGCATCGAGCGCAGCGAGATGCTGCTATTAAGCTACCTATAAGCCTTCGTCGTGAGCATTAAATTTGTCTGACGCCACAAAGAGCGTACGTCACACTTTTCCAGTTCCACGAATTCAGTATTATCATTTTGCTGTGGTACTGAAGCTCGCGCTCGTGCAATATTATGTGGTTAACAACCACCACTTGTTTACTGGTATTGGTCCCTAGCTTTTTTTCAGTAGTTTGTTGTATGTAACGTGTTAATGTGATTTGAATGATGCTGCAAGTACGGGCGGGTTCAAAATAAGCACTGTAACTATTTGTACATGGCGGCATTGAATAGTATACTGAACAGTGGTACAAAGTAGCAGATTAGTATGGCGCCGCTGACAGAGAACTCCTCCGGTGTACATCGGTTTGATAGTTTTCCATAACTGTTGGTTGTTAGTGGCTTAGTGCTGCTGCTAACGGCTACGTGGAATTACCGAAAAACTTAATTTTCTCGTTTGCGTTCACGAGTCCACTTTGCAGAGCAGCGGAACATTTAATTATGTAAATACTGAATAAAACCTGGTATTGTTTTATTGTGCGTGGACACGGTAAATTATCAATTTAAAAACAATATGTAAATGAGACTCTGTATAACACTGTGTGATTAACTGCAACATTTGGACTGTAGTGCAAAATTTACAATTTAGGTTACGTGATGATACAGCATCCAGATAGCTGTTAGCATTTTCCGTTGTTTTAAGTCTTCTTTCTTAATAGCTAAGCGGCCACCAAAATACTACTTATTTTTCGGTTAAGAAGAAAAAATTAATTCTTTCCGCTTCCAACAGTAAAGTTCAGTAATGCGTGTGCGGTGCGCCGTGTGGTGTGCTTCCAGTACGTCAGGATTCGGCAAGCATATGGCTGTATCCCATAATATTTTTTCAAAATTAATTTGTTCATTTTTATATCAGCATTCTGTATTTGCAGTGCATTCTGTATTCGTTCATTCATTTTTTATATCAGCATTCTGTATTTGCAGTGCAAAAATATAGTATGTACGATGTCGGATGTGCAGTAGTACTGTACAATCTGACTAAATGAGGAGGCTACGGTCTATGTTAAAAAGCCAGCGAACAGCCTTTTTTGCCCGCTGAGGCTGGTTGATCAATGCAGCCTCTCTCTGTTGTGACTATAAATAGACTGAAGACAGCGCATTCCGGTGCTGCCAAAAAAGCGCAAGCGGAGTGCTGCCTTGCTGTATCGATCGATCGCGCACATGTGTGTGTGAGTGGGTAAATCCGCTCGCATTCACTTACACACGTATGAGTGTGGCTGTCTGTGCGCGTACTAGCTGTACAAACCGGTTTTCGCTGTCTTCGCTACAACGCATACCCTAAACCCGTAGCTTCCTTTCTTGCTCGCATTGTATGTATCGCATGTGTTTATGAGGGAGTTTATAGCGGTTGCTACAACTTTGTGGCTACGTGCTATCCCCTCCCACGATGCACAAATGCTAGTCTGTTCGCATAAACTCGTCGCCAGCTTGCTACCCTTCTAGCTGATAGCAAGAAAGTAGCCAGTTCACAGCGGCTTGCTACGACTAGACGGCACCCGCCCGGTGTGACCGTAGAAGGCAACCGCCCACAGTAACGGCAGGTAGCAACAGCAGCGCCCGCCCACCGCTACGGCAGCGGACAACCTCTTACGGTGGCGGGTTACTTGACTATGGCAAGCCGATATTAGGCTTATGGCAAGCCGACATTAGGTATATGGCAAGCCGACATTAATTACATTATGGCAAGCCGATATTAGGCGTACTCGTAATATTGCTATCTTCTGGAAATTATTTTAATCCGCTTTTAACTTTTTAATTTATTTTACATGTGAAACATTTTTTCTTTATTTGATTTGTTTCAAGATTTCATCTTCAAAATCTAAATTGAAATCTTTGAAAATTTTAATTTTAAAATTTCAAGTTTAGTTGTAAGTTGAAATTTTAAAAAAAATTTAAGTTACTACTTGAACTTGAATTTTAAAAAAAATACAGTTTAACTTTCAAATTTTATTTAAAAGTTTAAAAAGTTGAATTTTAAATTTAAAAAGTTTCATTACATGGTCGTGTTTGTTAAGTCGAACTTGGTTTCAGACTTTTTAATGGTTATTGTGTACTGTATCGAATTTTTCCGCATTATCTGCGAAGTTGGTATATGGATTAGCAACCTCAAGAGGTTACTACATGGCTTAACCATTGTCCTTTCGAGCTAGCAATCTAGTCACGACTACCAATAGCATCGTCTGTTTATGCAGACATTTGCGCTACATAGTCGGTGCTACATAGCCAGCTATGTAGCAGTAGTCAGCCAGCATAAACTCATTTTGTGGAACTACTTGCTACCAAAACGGCTACGGGAGACCACGCCTCCGAAAATGGTAGCAAGTAGCAAGTAGTCAGGTCCGATAAACTGCCTCTATATTCGACTGTCAAGTGTCAACACGACTGCAGCGTTCGCTCGCTGTCGAGTAGCTCCTCTGGAATGTCAACTAAGGAAGTATACGAATTAAACCGGCAAAAAACTAAGCCGATGTTGCATTGCAGTATGAATTTCTTATCTCGACTACGTGAAAACATGCAAAACAACTCTAGTCTGTACTGCATGCACCACGATTGCTGTAATCGTGATAATAAAAACTGCTATAATATTAGTGGTAATCAGACCTGGCTAAACATTTGGCAGATGTTTTGGCTGAAGTAGGGCACAACGCTCCGTTGCGCGCCCGTGAAAGATAACGCGAGTTAGTCACCACAACATTCTCAAGCCGAAAGCTAACGGCTGCGCTTATTGGTCCGCTACGTGATCCACAGATGAATTACAAAACGCAGCTTCGAAGCTGCGTTTTCTGTTTCACATACACTTTCACCTCCGTTGTTCAGTATAGCCAACAGAGCTTTACACAGTGGTCACCCGTAACATGATGAAGCGTTTTAATTTTATTAGCTAATAAAAATTGATGTGATTGAGTATTAATCTGTATTAGTGATTAGCCCCAGTAGCTAAAAGTTGCTATTAGTACTAGGCTAATTGCTAATTTAGTAATTACGATTATTAATTAAAGTAATTATTACTAGTGTTTCTTATTAGGATTAATATTACTAAATTATATCAACAGTGTTGTTTAGGTTGCTTTACTGCGTAATTAAATCTAATTACTTTAATTAATTACGCTGAGTAATTAGTTGGGTTACACTGAGGAAATGGAATTACATTAGCCAGTAAAGCTAAGTTAATAATTACTTATTAAATTAATCAATAGTTACCATCAAGGATGCTGCATGCGAATTAATATGCGTCTGCGGCCCTGCATTAAATTCATTTGTGTTTATGCAAATACGATTCATCTAGCAGTCAGTGCTAGCGTTTCATCTGCTGATCCACTGCTTATTACTGGTCCAACGCACTCTCATTTTTTGCAGTGCGTCATCCAACAATGACGCATAATGCTTTCACATTTTATTTCGCGATATTTTTCTCCAGAAGTTTAGCTAGGATTGATCGGGCCTATTGTTGCTATTGGCACTTGTACAGACTTCAGAATGATAGAATCTCGGAACGTGCGGCATGATCTCAAATGCGATGATTTCAGTTTAAACTGAAAAGCTCATTGACTTCTCTTGCTGCTTCTTGAATGCGTATCAGACATTTGATTGGGCAATGTTTCAGAAAGCACACCAGAGAAATAACACGTAAACGTCTTCGGTAGCTCTAGCTGTTCACTGCATTGTTTCCTCCCACAACGTGCGGCTGTTTATCTGCAACATCCTCTGGTATATTGTAAGCTGATTCCCGTAAAAACTCCGTGGCTGTTTTAATTCATGATTTATTGCATTATTGTTGTGCTCCTGGTTTCAAATGCTGCAACTTACAGTAGGGCAAAAATTTTGTTTTTCCCGAGTATGTGTCAGTCAATAATGTAAAATGTATTTGTATTTCGTAAAAATCAGTACGATGAACAACTTCGCTCAGAATTATGCGAACAGGTTCTTAGTTTCTAGTCTACGATTCAGTCATCATGAACCCAGTACATCAGAATTATTGTCGTAAATCATTATGATTTTTCAGTTGGCATACCGCAATTAGTTTTACGCAATGGACAAAAAGCGCAGCGTTGTGAAGCACACAGGAAAATTGCTGGCCGTCTCCGCTCTGGAGATCATCTTGGGGAGTGTCGGATTTGCCACAAATTTCTACACTCTGTTTTATGGTAAGTAATTCTTGAAAACCATTTGTGTAAATCAGTTACTTAAAAAAATTTTTAAATTTAAATTTTCAATCTTTTGCTAATTTTTCTGCTGCTCGATATACTGTATTTTGTTTACAGTCATACAGACCGTATCTCTTTAGGCGTCAGTCAAAATATGTCAAAAGGTAAATGAGAATGCAAAGGTCACTGCGCATATGCAAAGGTCACTGCGCATACACACGTGCGCGGCATTATGTGTTTAGCAATTATCATAATTCAATGTTTGCAGACCGGTTTTACTAACACAATTTTTTGCCGCTTCTTCTTTTTAACTATAACTATTTTATGCCAAGTTATTTTTCTGCTGTACGGTACTTTGCAATTTTGCGGCTGTTTTCTTCAGCATATACATGAGGCATAAGCTAATTCTTTTTATAGGCGCATTATCGGTCAGCAATACTTTTCCGCTCTTTCAAGTGCTGACCTTTACCGTCACCCTACTCGGATTTGTGCTACAGCTGCTCAGCGGCGCCTATCGCGCCCTGGCCTGCCTGCTGCTCCGCCAGGGTCACGAGGACACCCCCCTCGATATGGTGCATGTACGGGACAGCGACCTGCGCCTGACCATCTTCCAAGGCGTTTATGCCACGTGCCTCCTGGTTGTGTGGCTGTGCAGTGTGGCCATGCAGGCCGACAAACTCATCCCGGCTATGGATGTGGGGGCGGCCACCCATCGGGTACTGCAGGATGATCCCATCGGGCATCTGATCCTGCTGTGTCTGGTGCTGTCGCTGTTTGCCGGTATGGATGTGACGGTTGTGGCGGGCCGGCTGTGTCAACGCATCGCTGATGGTCTTCAGAAGCCGAGGCTGCAGACCATCGCTATCCAGCAACAGCAGCCGGAAACGTTACCGTCAGCTTAGAAGAGGATGATGGGAGGATGCAATTGTTTTAATTGCTAATACAAAATATGGTACTTCGCTTTGCTGACATGTTTTAATCGTTTGGCTTGTTTTTATCCACTTCTTTTCGAACTGCGTCTCTGTACGCTTGACATGCATTGGTATCACCGTTATGTCCAAAGTCGTCGACCGGGTCAGTTCACCTGATTCGGCGCTTCTACAGCTCTACAACACTACAACATTTTTTATTGTAGCTTTGTGTAGACGCTATTGTTAAGCTTTTTTTATAACAGTTTCATGCGGAATGGCTTCCAAATTTATAACATTGGTACACCACTACATAAGAGCCGATTACGATTCTCGGCTGGTGCGTTTCGAAAACTTTCTTACTCTTATCCGTTCACAATCTTTTATATCAAGGCACAGCCGTGTTACAGTAATGATCAAGGGAAATGCTCGAAAAATGTTACCAAAATTTTATACGTCCATGAAAACGTGAAAACTTGCGCTGCTCACGCAATCCCGAACAATGTTTTTGCGTTGTTTATTACATGGCAAGTTGTATATTGTATATATGTACTCGTATTATGTCTATGAAAATGGCAAGTTGTGGGCGCAGATCCCGCTGTTGACCCAGGTGAGATATGGCAGATACGTAGTACTTGCGTACATCGTTGCCCACTCGTTATCATAATTTTGATTTGCCTGAAATTGTCCTACAAGTGTGCGAGCACATAAATATAAAGACTTGAAGTTAATATATCAAACTACCGTTTGTATGGCCAAAGAATAAAATAAAACTTTAAATGACCGGAACCGAATGATTAGAAATCCAAATATTTACGAACTTAAACAATGCTTAAGATCAGAAGATTTACGTACTTATAGAATACTGAGAATCCAAATATTTACATAGAATATTTACCATTTTAATTTTTTATCACCATCACACTACTTAATTTAATTTTCAACCTTGAGTATAGTGGACAGCGCCACAAAAATAATATTCACTAATCAAATAAAAAAACGATCCCAGTTGGAGCGTGAGGAGACGGTCGCCAAAACCAACTGAGCATTACCACGCCAAATCTCTAAACTTAGCCGCTGAAACAAAAAAGAGGTAGATCGGGACTCGCCAGTTCGAACAAACAACCTCTTCCCGATTTCTTTAAAATCAACAATGGCGCCTTCACACCATGTGCCAAAAGACTCGCATGCCAAAGGTACAAAATTGCATCTATCCAAAATGCTGCGGTACTTGTTCATCTTTTTCCCGAAGGCCTGTTCAGCGGCGGCTCCTGCTAATCGGGACGTAGCTCCTACATATGTGTCATACATCGTATCGCGGCAGGTAACGTCCCACACAAGTGGTAGTCCTCGGAACCATGTACATTTTTAATCAGAACATCTACGTACCGACAGCAACTGTTTAAAACTGCAATGCGATTAGATGCGTAAAGAGCAGAGCTAAATCCATGTACTGTATATGTGTATGTGCAGAGCTAAATCCCTGTATCGGGCCATGGTGCCTAGTATTGCCTGCCATTATCAAGTATCGTAATACCGGCTTTTTGTTTGATAGCAGAAAGCCTTATGTTGTGCCTGTTAATTTGTCGTTGTTGCAGTTCGTTATGACAAGAGGTGGCTGAATATCAGTAATTCCCATCGTTGGCATGTGATGCCCGAGCCTCAAATATCGATCAATCACTACTCTATGTGGTTAAGTTGCTAACTTGTCCCTCTTTTGTACGAGTACATCTTAGAATATTGTTATATCAAGGTGTTGTAATTTTCGCCTGCCTGTGTGAGGAGGCCGTGGATGTTGGAAAGTGGTACCGATTCTCGTATAAACTGAAAGAATGCGAAGTTTACGTACTCTTATCGTGCGAACGTCATAAGTAAATCACGGTCGGGGAAAGAGCATGTGCAATAAAAGCAACATCATTACTGCACTGAAATATTGGACAGCTGTTTTACATTGAACGATGACGGCACAGCTTCTTGCATAATGCAGCTTTAAATTATGTATTGTACGAATGCAACCCTAAACCAATTAAAGCAACGCAAGTCCCATGTTCCATGCTTCCGGCGAGTGCGCAGGATGTTTAAGATATCGTCTAGCTAGCGCACAACTCATCTGGTACCCTGCTAGAGTGTTTGTGATAGACGATTAGAGCTGCCTGCGTTCCGGGTCCTCGAAATTTCTCGTCCTTCGAAATTAAGTACAGCTTACAAAAGCTAGCGCTACGTAGACATTGAAATCGCGGTAAGTAAAATTATATATTAAAGTTTTTACATTACTCTGTTTCCGAAACAGTATGCCGGTATCGATTACGTAAAACAGTACCAGTAGTATTTTGCAGGAAAATGGAAAACATACTGGGCAGCTTCACACCGGATGGAACAGGCCGAATGCTGGTTCTCTGCATTGTGGACGTGGTCTTGGGCATGCTGATAGTTCCGGCTAACTTCTACATGCTTTTTTATGGTATGTACGCCGTGAAGAACGCTTACGGGGGGGGTTACAATGGCCGCTACCGCGATAATGACAAGATACGACAATTAATTTCTGAATTAATTAATTACCAGGGTAATAAATCTTTGCTGACCACCCCGTACTCACCTTTTCACTACCTTCTACTCCGTACAAAACCTTTCGCGCTACCTTTTATTCCGTGCACAACCTTTTTGCGCTACCTTGCATTCAGTACACTATCTTTGTGTGCACTACCTTTGACACCGTACACGACCATTCGGCGCTACCTTTATCTGTGTGCACTACCTTTTATTTTTTAAATTCTTTCATAGCAGAGTTCTTTCTGGAACTGCCGTTTTTTCGTTAACAGCTGTTATAATGCTGCATAATTCAAAGCATCATCGGTAGTTATAAAATCAAACACCCATGGGTAAAAAATTGTAGGCGCCCGTGTGCCGGTTTTTCTTCGCAGGCTTTGGACAGTGCCGTTTTTGAACGAATTTTCGACCCAGTTTTATAGGTCTCTCCCTGTGTGAGACGTTGCCGTACATAAAGCGCAGTCTCTGTCGCGAACAACAACGCGTAAAACGCGCAATCTCGACCGTTCTCTGCTTTTCTGAAGTAGTATAATTGTTATTTTGGTGGCTATTGCCTATTAAAGAATAGTACTAGGTATAAATTTAAATATTTCAAGTACATATATGTAAAAGTATGGTAGTGCACCCAGGGAAAGGTAGCGTGGATTGGTAATGCACCGGGTGAATGGTAGTGTCAAAGGTTGTCTCCCGAAAGAAAGGGAGTGCCCGAAAAGGTACTGAAAGGGTGTTTACGAAGTGATCACTTAGATCTTTCCTACGGTCTTGATTTCAGGAAGAATCGATTTTTTTTGGAACGTTTGGGCATTCAGAGAAGGGTTTTGTTACGTATGCACTGAATGTTTTATGGGCTAGCGCTTTGCAGCGGTTCTATTCGATAGTTTTAATGATAGGAGGATTTATGTATTGCCGCTTCCTTTACAATTCACGCATCACTACCTAAATTCGCTGCTTTTCGTAAAGTAATAAGAGTTGTGTAAGATACATACAGGCCGAATACACCACAGTCCACAGAGACTGTACCCTGACATTTTACCACGAACTTTAGCATGCTAGTGCTGTGTTTTAGTTATTTACTAATGCAGTTTTTCACTGTCTACGTTCCAAATGTGTCTTTGTGTTGGGTGGGCTTTTAAACCGGGGAGGACACTAATTGTGACTGCGGTATGTTTGTAATGGCAGGGCGCGGGAAACTCCGTTTGCACTCTAGTGAGTAAGTTGTATTGTGTACACGTACTGAACAACAAGGTTGCGAGTAAAATATGCTGAAAACTTGGGATTATCGTTAGAAGTATTAGTTAACATTATTTATTGCTTATCTGTTCAGTATTAATACTGTTTGGTTATAGGAGAACTGAGCAGTGGCAGTGGGTGCCCGGCTCTGCAAATGATCGTCTTCGTCCTGACGTTGCCGCTGTACTGGACACCAGTGGCGAATACCTGCCGGAAAACCAAGATTTATATGCGTCTACGCCGGGGTGCACTGAATGTGGTTGAGTTCTATTTTCAAGCCTGCGACGACAAATACATTGGCTGGTTCGCTTTTGGCCAGGCCGTTTACATGTTGTCTGTGGCCGTGATCGGGTTCATTCGGGTTGTTGCTTACGTTGCGCGAACCCTCGCTGTGATGGATTCGAGTGGATGCAACTGTGCATGGGTCCTTAAAGTCGAATTGGTTACGAAGGCCTGGATGGCGGCGTTTGTGGTGCTGGGTGCTAGCAGTTTCCTCGTGGTGGTCGGCGTCCTGAATGGGAACGACCGCTTGCTGGCTGCAGCGGGCTTTGAGATGAAAGTGTTGTTAGACAAATTCCGACGGGAAGAAAAAGCCAAGAAAACCGGCTACGTTGAGGGACGTCTTCAGTTGGACTATGTGGAAGATGCTGATTCAAGAAAGGAGAAGACTGCTGAGATCCAGCCGGTGGACGCATTCGCCGTGAATTTGATTGATCTTGTTTAGGCTAATCCAGAATCCCAGATCACATATTTACATTTTCCTGATTTATTGGCAGATAATACTTACAAGTTACCGTACTGCTGCGAGGGAGACTGTCTGCATCTAAACTTTGGTTGTTGGTTTGCTTGGAGTGTTGAATATCCGACACAATTTGCGCTGCGAGTCAAAGGGCCGCTCGGGCCTTGTATTATAATCTTTGCATATTAATTTTAACACTACAGTGTACAATGTAGGACTAAATGGTCGCATAGCCCCATAGCCAGCATTCTGTACGCAAGCGGTGCAGTGCACTTGTACGAAACGGATATTTTGAACTCAGTCGTACAGTGCACTGCGCTGCATTCGTACTGGATGTGGAGATGTTGGGTATGCGACCATTTTGTCCTAAGCTGTATGTGATCAGTACAAGTTAAAGTGCTTCATTTTATCGCATTTTCTGTGAACGATGCTCGCCTGTGCCGGCGTAACCGCATGCCTCATAATTTTCTGCACGAGATGGTAAGCGATCACTACTCCTTCGAAACATTTTGCCAACTCTGGATATTTTGTTTACAAACAGAACAACAAACTGCATTTCTTGTATGTAACTTAGTAAACATATAAATGAGAATGCGAGGGTAACACCAGCGCATGTCAGGCGTGCAGATACGAATTCCATAAGAAGAGGATAAATACAACAAACCAAACCAGCAGCTAGTAAAACATGATGGCAAAGCAAGAGTGTCATAATTTTTCCAGCATTATCTGTCAAACTGACGTTAACGTTTCCGGTGGCTCTTG